TAATGAATGTATTGTAAAGGTCCAACATATTTTCACCAGGAGGTGAGAGATTGAATGTTACCCATGTGTTATCTTTAGCAATTTCAGGTTGTGATGGAATCTTTGCGTCAGAATATTTTCTATTAGTGTCACCAATTTGAACTGCATTGTCTATGATATCGAAATATGAGCGAATCTGATGAATATGCTCTGCTGGAGTAAATTCGTTTAGCTGTTCGTTCTGCATGTATTTACTTCAGATAAAAATATCTATTTATTTCATTATTCTCACTCTTCTTCTTGACATTCGTGGTGGAAGTTGTTTCTTGACATTTTCAATGAACTGTACATTCTCTTTTGTCTCAACTTCTTTTACTGGCGGGTCAGGGTTCTTTGACTCGGTTTGTTTTTCAATGAAATTCACGATCTTTGCAATAAGCTCTTGGTTCGTTATTGAAAGTACATCTGGCTTCTTTTCTTCTTGTTCTATTGACTTTTCAGTTTGAATAGAAGGCTTAACATGGGCTTCGCCCTCGGTGCCATGCACCTTAATACTGTCGCTTTCTGCATTCGCTAATGGAACCTTTCTTTTTCTTACGTATATTTTACCATCTTTACTCTGACTTACGTAATAGAAAGGATGTTGTATTCCTCTTGCGTCATTTAATATAATAGACTCTCGCTCTGATTTTGACAAGCTCATTTTACATCGGTTAAAGTTTTAATTTTGTTTTTTATCTGCAGTCAAATGACTCAGACAAGCCCTACGGACAAGACCCAAGGGGTCATAGATGTTGAAGCATTGAAGAAAGAAATTCGTGAGCAAATTTTATCCGAACTGAAGGAACAAAAACAAGAACAAAAGCCAGAGAGACCAAAGAGAAAACTTAGTGAAAAACAACTTGCTGCATTAGCTGCTGGAAGACAAAAGAACCCAAGACTACTGGCGAAGAAAGCTAGAGAAGAAGCTGAAGCAAAAGCTAAAGAAGCTGAAGCAAAGAAAGAGTAAATGGTTTATTTTTATCCGAATTAAATGTATAGACAAATACCTTTATCTGTTGCGTTCAGTAGTGAAAACCCTGACGTCAAAATAAAGGGGAACAGAGTAACGTTTAAGTTTCCAACAGACTGGATTGTGAACATAAATGAAGAGAAGTACATTGGCATAACATCTATGTATATAACACGTGCTTTCAGAAAGGTTGACTTTATACTTCAAGTCGAGATAGAAAATGACGAACAGTCTTTAAGCGCCCAAAACATTCACATATACAAATACTTTAAAGACGATACAACATTGTTGCAATGTATGACTTCATTTAATGAGATGTTCGAGAAAAAGTTCAACATTGAAGTACAAACTTTACAGCCTTTACGTGAGTTTCTTGCACAACTGAAAGAAGAAGGTAGTCAGCCACAACTTATAGACTTTCATTATGAATTTAATGAAAATGAAGATGGAACACATGACTGTCAGTTTATTGTATTCTCACCATTCAATGAAGTCGCTAAAGAGAAAAAAAATCCATTACGTATAAGATTTCAAATCTCTGAACCAAGTGATGATTTCAAGAATGTTTTCAATTATGATGAAATGCTTCCGAGGAAAAATGAATTTTCAAAGATTGTAACACCTGGCATTTGGGATAGAAAGCAAGCTATATTATATTCAAACTTAAGTAAGGGAGTTGAAAATGAGTTCATTGGTCATACAAGAACTTCACCACTTCCTAACCCTAAATACTATAAATTAACTGGCTTCAATCGTGAGTTTTGGATAGACATGTTCTCCACTCATGACCATAACTGCCCAGTGTTCTTACCTCCAGACCATAAGAACTGTCTCTACATTGAAGCACAACTCTTAAACTCTACCATCGCAGTATTGTAAATGACCACATGGGCTTCGCCCTTGCCGCTAGCGGCTTATTTTTATCATGAATGACCTCATTGCTGACAAAAATAAATGACCTCAGAACTTCAACTTACGAATAAAGCTTGTTTTAGTCATTATTGAGAAGTTAAACTTCTCTTCAAAGCAAGGTTGACATGACTTACATAAGTCAAATCCAATCTCTTGACCGTCATAAAGTGCTTTGTAAAGTTTCATTAAACTGAACTCAGAGTCTTTGTCATATGTTCCAACAGGTATGTGAATGTTCTTATCTTCATTGTAATAGCATTGTATAGCTTCAGGAAACATTTCATTTGCTGTTAAAGCAAGGACGTCTTGTTTGACACCTTTGCAACGTGCATGGAATGCAACTTCATTTAAATCGTTAGTGAGTAAGTCTATGTAGGTCTTCTTTCCACAAAATATTGACTTGTATGCTAAACTTTGTTTTCCAGGTGTTATTTCTGCGAAGTCAGAATGAAATTGACCAAGGTTCTTTCCTATAAGTTCGCGACCGTATCTCTTCTTAAACTCTGCTGCAAGCTTTGGTATGTCTTCATTGAAAATATGCATGCTATCACAGTCCTGGTAAAATATTTGAAGTCCCATATCTTCAGCAGTACAGAATACTTCACACATTATTCTCTTCGACATAGACAGAATGTTAACACCAAGTGGACAGAAGTTAAAGTGTCTGCAAATGCTTTTCGTTAGCTTGAAAATAGTTTTATCTGAACCATCCAAACCTTCGAACTTCACTATATGGTTGTAGTTTCTGATGGCATATCTTATAGCATCTTTGTCATTTACTATGGTTATTTTTGACTCAATAGGAGATAGAATAGTTTTGCCATAAATACTGTTCAGAATGAGCTTTATATTTTCTTGCAAAGGATTTCCTTCTTTCTTATACTTTAACCTTAACTCAAACAACTTCTTTACTTCATCTCTTATTCTAATATCTCTGTTTCCATCGTAATAGTATCCTTGCAACACTTCACATTTGACACCTTGATATTTTATGAGGTCTTGTAATGTTATATGGTCAACATACATTAAACAGCAAGTGTTTGAACTTCTGGGAACGTTAAGTTCTGGATTTAGTTCAGGGTCACAAACTATTAAAGGAAAGTGTCTATGTATTCCAATCTCTGTTATCTTAATGAGAACAAAGAAGCCAGACATAAACTTTTCACCAATGGGTTCCTTTTGGTCGTCATCGAATAAATGTCTCATGAGATACTCTGTGCTTAACATTTCTTTCTTCATAACCTTTGGAATACCTTCTAAAGTATAAAGTCTTGCTATAGCTGATGGATATAATGAAACAGCGTCGAATCAGCAATGAGTTTCTTTTCGCTCTTTTGTTTCATGTTATCTGACAGCATACATCTTCCACCTTGAATACAGCGTGAAATAAATTCTCTTGGTTTATTTGAGAGGTCATATAAATTTCCATTCGGGAAGTACACTCTGTTCTCAAATAATTTGTTAGCAATTGAACAAATACTAACGTAGTCATAAACGTTTAAATCAAATTCTTTCAATATGTCATTGCGGAACTTAACAAAACCTTCTCTTAAAATTCTTACATCTTGTTTGCAATAAAATGTGCTATACTTTTCTAAGTCGAAGTGGTTTTCATCTATTCTGCAACCTTTGATGGAATCTATGTTTTTCATGAATGTATCTGCATCCCGGATAAACTTACATGCTTCAGAAATGACACCAGTTCTGTTGTCATTTGCTAACAAAACACTGCTGTAGTAGTTATATGGAAATACTTCTTTCGGTCCTGTTTGTAAGTTAAACATAGCAGGAAATAGTTTAAGCTTCTTATTTATAACACTGTAAGAGTCTTTTATAATAATTGCCCTTCCTTTATATAAGCCAGTTATTTGCATTGTTCGTGAACCTTTAATGATGGGAGTTCCTTTCACTTCTGTCATGTGTCTTAAGATGAAGTTTATATCATAACTGAGGTTATGGAAATATATTAAACTCTTGTCAGGAAGTCGTTCCAAAAATTCTGTTGCACAGTTCTGACCCCAAATGCTTTCACTCACTGAACCATCTTCACTGTCATAACAGATGTTAAAAGCTTTATGAAAGCCGTCTGTGCTACACTCAAAGTCAGCAAAGAAAACGTGCTCAGGAATGAACTTGCACTTATTTTTATTTACTTCTTTTGACTCGGCTTTCTTCTTCAGTTGTACACAATACTTTGGAGCATATGTCAAATCTTTAAATGGTGCAAGGTTCTGTTTATATAAGTCAGTCGTATATGTGAAAAGTTCTCCATAAGAAATAGGTTCGAAATATTTGCACTCCCACAATGTTTTCATAACATCCCATAACGGTGTTGTTCTATCATAACGAACTACATATTTATCTTCTCTCTTTGTATAAATCTTCATCTGTTTCTCAATGTTCATTCCACCACAAGCTTTGAGAATTTCTATATAGTTGCGAATGAAATATGTTGTCATTGGTAATCTTTCATTTAGCATGTAGTGGTCTTCAACAAGAAGTAAGTCAATAGTTCGAACAGTTTCACATTCTTTTGGTATGTATCTCTTTATTTCATTATGTCTTGAGTCATTGAAGTAACCAATGGTAACATTAAATGCTATACCTGTTGCGTCAGAAATTTCTTGTACTTTACTTTGAGGAAAGTCTCTAACACGAATGACTTCTCTCATGTGGTCAATAGTCTCTCCATCTACTCCAGCCTGAATGCAAGCATAAACGAAACAATTGTCTTCTGTCATAAGTGCTGCAGTTCTTTTGTTCAATTCATTGAAGATTTGGTAGCGTTCAAGATTTATAGGTAATGTGCAAAGATACTTCCAGAACTGACCGCTTCTCTTCTTATAAAACTTCTTTTCACCATTATCTTTCCAAAAGCTTTCTATAAGTGCTGGGTTTCCTGTTTGCTTAAGAGCTTCCAAAATGGCTTTCTGGTCATTTGTCAGTGTGCTTTCATCTCTATATGGTCTCTTTTTTGGTTTGCCTTTCTTTACATCTGACATCGTTAAGCCTTCATATTCTGTTAAATCATACATCTTTATTTCGGTAAGATTCTTTATGTTTGTCAAGAAGAAGTCATAGTGCATTTCAACAATACCTGCAGCATTTGCTTCTATCTCTGATATAAAGTTCTCCTTCAAGAGCTGATGTAGTAATGTTCCAATATTATTGAGGTTTAACGTAGAACATTCATACTTTCCACCAAGTTTATAACATACCATCCATCTCTGTTGTGAGTTTATTTTAATTTTCTCTAAGAGTCTCATGAAAACCTTACCGAAATGTTTGTGTAAGTAGTCTCTGTTTGGTTCATCTAAAGCTTCGATGTTAAAGTCAATGAGTCTATTGCCTGACTTCACATTTCTCTTCCTATTCTCTTCATCTTTCTTTAACCATCTCTCACCTTCTTTTGGTTTGTCGTCAATGGAACGAATGACATCGTTAGCTTTGCGAACTTGTTCTATAGCGCTCTTAAACATCTCTCTTCTCTGTTGTTTCAGTGTGTCGTCTCTTCTTCTTGTTTCACCAACGTTTGCATTTGTTATGTCAAACATTTCTCTTCTTACTTCATGAGGTACTGAACGTCTATGATATAAGTCAATAGCAACGTCATTTAAAGGAAATGCTCTTGCATGGACTTCGTCCTCGCCGCGTTGCGGCTTTATGAACTCATGAATTCTATCATAACTTATTGCACCATTATAGTCATTGAGGATGTCAGCGAGTGCTTTTTTGTTTGTTGCGTAATGCTTTGCAACATCTATATTAGCTTCTGTAAGAAGTTGTTTTATTTCCGAGTGTTCTAACTTAGACAACTTCCGATACATCTTTAGTAGGAAATAAAAAAATATTTTTTGAAAAAATTAGATTAGATTTTTTAAGTTATTTTTCAAAATAATTTAATATTTTTATTTTAATGAAACACATGCAAGATTGCAAGTTCTTTTCATACAATGCTCTCGCTACTGCCATCAAGAATGAGTTCAATAATGCTTCAAATGTTAATGTTATCTTTAACAAGAAGTTTGTGAAAGAATCTAAGTTTGGTCAGTATGTCAGACCATTAGCTATCGTCATTGACCGCAAACGTTATACTTCACAAGAGTTAGCAGTAGTTTTGAAACAAAAGAGTTTCTTCGTGAATGTCAAAGATACTCATTATACTGTCATAAAGAACTCTAACATTGACTTCTTCAGTATTGCTTTAAATCTTTCCGAACAGAAAGAATATAAAAAGGTGAAACAAATGTGAAATATTATCCTTCATCTCTGAAGACAATAACGAACAAAGATGTTATACAGAAATTCTTACCAAAGGTTGAAGAAGCTTCTATTGACATTGACGAAGGAAGTGAAATGGTTGAAGAAATAGACCCTGAAGCTATTTAAGCAAAAATATATTTTTGGTTAGTCTTCATATCGATATTTTACAACAATTCCCCAATGTATAAACTTTTCATACGCTTTTTCATAAGCTTTATATACCTTCAGAAATTTTGCATAATCTTTAGAAGCATTTAGATATTGTTTAAATGCTTTGTATGTCTTCAGAAATTTTGCATAATCTTTTACATGTTGTTCGTTCTCTTCTTCTGTCATGAGTTCCGAATATTCTAAATTCATGTTCTTTCATATGAGATAAAATTTTATAAAAAAAATAAAATTAGCTTAGATTTTTTTATTCTTCCTCTTTGAAGTTATCGAAATATTCTGTTATTTTTCCTTCAGTAATGTTAAGTCTTCTTTGAATGTAAGTATTGTGCAACCTTTGATGTCATAGTGTGTTTGAGGAAGAGTATTTTTGACAATTTCCTTTATTTGCTCATTCGGTGTCATTAAAATCGGTAAGTTTTCACGATAGAACCAGTTTCTGTCAGATTTATATATTTTAGCTAAGTCATAAAAGCTCTTGTTGTTTCTTCTGACTAAATGCAACATAACCATATCTTTATCGTCTTCTTTCTCCAACTCTTCAGTATATATCATATACTTATAACTCTTTTCCTTTCCTTTTGGTACCGAACGCGGTATTCTTTTCTGTATGCTTTTGTCTTTGGATTCAATGACTTCATCTTTTGCTTGAAGTTTCTTTTCCATCTCTCCACTTTCTGCTTTATATAGTTCATCTAACATCATGAAAATATAACAAGCATAACGAGGTGAAGCCCACATTGCTACAGCATTTACTAAAAGTCTATGAACATAATAACCTTTCAAACCAGGAGCCAAATTCTTGCGATTTTCATACGGAATCTCTTCCCCCGGTTTTCCGAGGGAAGCAATCATATGAGGAAATTCTTCTAAAAGTTCTTTTGTCTGTTGGTTTTCAAACCAATGATATGCTTGCTTTGTAGAACGAAGAGCATTCATTATACTTTGCATTTGGTACATGTCATCTTTGACTGAACGAATGAGACGTAACTGTTTGTTATACTGTATGTACTCGTATTCTTCATTTATAGCTTCATGGACTATAACTGATGTTGTGTTCTCTGATGTTGACATTACTGTCTTTACATACAAAATAAAAAAAATAAATAAAAATAAAAACTAACTTTATTTTTTTGTCTTAAGGAAATTCATTATTTTTGTGCTGAATTCAATAAAAATATATTTTAGGGTAGATGGTTAGATCTAACCCGATATCTAACCTCATTTCTACCCTCATGAATTTTCATGAATTTTATATATTAATGTTTTCGTTAAGCCACTTTGTGCCGTCAGTCAGTCAGTTAATGAAATTTACACCAAAAATATATTTTAGGGTAGATGGTTAGATCTAACCCGATATCTAACCTCATTTCTACCCTCATGAATTTTCATGAATTTTCATGAATTTTATATATTAATGTTTTCGTTAAGCCACTTTGTGCCGTCAGTCAGTCAGTTAATGAAATTTACACCAAAAATATATTTTAGGGTAGATGGTTAGATCTAACCCGATATCTAACCTCATTTCTACCCTCATTATTTATAACCGTTTTACATGGTAAACGTTATGAATTCGTGAAATTTTAAATATTTTTGTAGCTTCTATTTCTTCAGTTAATATATCAAAAATTTTAACGATACCGAAAGTTTCTTTATACTTCTTCTTGACATCAGATAGAAGGAAATCGTCAGCAGTTGGATAGTTTTTGTTCAGAAATGCTAACATATCCATTTTATCTTCTACCGGCTTCTCTGCCTCACTCTTTAAATCTGCATAGTCGTTTCGCATACGTTCTATCTCTTTTACTGAATAGTTATATTTCCTCATTGCTGCTTTACATTTAGAACATTGCGGGTTCATTTTTGCGTTATATTCTGAAACCTTACCTGCTAAAACAACTAAGGCGTTAATGGTTTTCTTTAAATCTGAAGCAGTTGGTTTTATCTGTTCATGCCATACCTTACCTCTTCTATCTTTATCTCTTATCTGCCATACACATTTTGCAACTAATGAAACAAAGTTGTCGTATGTCTTAAACTCCCCCGATTTATATATGTCAGAGATGTTCTTATATACCATGTCGCAATCTTTGTCCATAACTTTATGGTTGCAATGATATCCTAGAAACTCATAATTTACCTTTCGTATGAACTTCTTTATTTCTGCAGAATCACTAACTTTAACTTCTATTTCATCGAATTCAGGAATAGTGAGCTTTTGTTGCTGGATTTCAGGCAATTTGGGTAAATGGTCAATAATGTCCTGCATGTCATAAAGATATTCTTCATTTTCTTCATCCTGTGCGGTACAGTCTAAATTACTTGTTAAAAGTTCTTGCTTTATTCTTTGTATTTCTGTTCCAAAACTATATGAAGAAGGAATGAAGTTTTTCATCTCTACTAACATAGATGTTGGATTCATGACTAACGAGTTTGGTGCTGTTGTTGTGGACAGAGTCCCGCCGTTCGCGGCTTGAATTGTTGTTGTGCCGATTGTTGAAATCATATCTTTTATACAAAATAAAAAAATAAATAAAAATAAAACTAACTTTATTTTTTCTGTCTTAAGGAAATTCATGAAAATTCATGAGGGTAGAAATCGGGTTAGATCTAACCATCTACCCTAAACATTATTTTTGGTGAATTCAATAAAAATAAATGGTTCATTTACTCACAATATTTTTGTACAAAACGACCCCAAACTTTTAACTTCTTTTCTGCAGCTTCTAATGCTATCTTAGCGAGTTCATATTCTCTAAATTCTCTCTTTAAATCTTCTTGTTCCCATTGGTCTAGTTCGTATGGAGAATCTCTATAACCATAACATATCTCACGTTCATGTTCTAATTGTTTTTCATGCATTTTTCTAACTTCTTCTTCAAACAAATGTTTTGCATTCTCTACTGTATCTTCGAGTTCTTCTTCATCTAACTTCTCATGAACTTTCTTGTCTATGGAGTCCATAATTTTTCCAACTGCTATGCAATATTTTGGAGAAGCCCACATTGCTATATAGTTTATAAGTCTTGGGTCTACATACGTTCCTCTAACCTGTTTGATTTCATCAGGAATTCCTGCATGAATTTTGTATAAAAAGCAACCGCCGGAATTCAGACTGTTGCTATATTCTTCACAAAATGCCTTATAATACTCTTCCCAGGACTTATTTTCCAACAACTTTCTAAAGTCTTTCCTAAACTGCTGACACATCTTTGTTGCATTAATGTAACCATCCTTGTCTCTACGTAAGACTTCAATACCATTATAAGTGCCTTTTGTGAATGTTTCGCCATTATATTTGTTAGTGAATGTTTTTGCTTCGACTGACATTTCTGTTCTTACATACAAAATAAAAAAATAAATAAAAATAAAACTAACTTTATTTTTTCTGTCTTAAGGAAATTCATGAGGGTAGAAATGAGGTTAGAAATCGGGTTAGATCTAACCATCTACCCTAAACATTATTTTTGGTGTAAATTTATGAAAACATTAATAATACATGACTGTTCTCATTCATGTCTGATTTACATCTAATGAAAAAGTTTAGAAGAATTTTCTTATTCTTTCTGGCTTATTTTTGTCTTTCCAGTACTCCCGCTCTAATGGTCCCAGATGTGTTGACTTTGACTCTCTCAAGTTCTTAGATGGTATAACATCTTCAACGCCTCCTTCATATCTTACTTTATAAGTGTCATCGTTTATGTTGTAGCCAAGTATTTCAATAACCACTCCTCGCTTTGCTTCGTCAATGGTTTCAGCAAGTTTGCCATTACTACTTTCAACTAACTTATGACGAGGATAAAACGCAATAGAGTCGTCGGCAGCTTTTATAAGATATCCATTACCTTGCGTTGAATCTACTATATAATAGTTTCTACTTAACCTTAAACGTTTCTTTGTCAACGGTTTGTCGTCAAGAACTACACGAACTTTTGTACCAGGAATGAGGGTAAATTGTGTTGAATTTCTGATATTTTGTGTTTGGCTTCGTTTCTTTTGTATATACTTTTCTTCTTGTTGTTGTGTCATTGAATTTGGTGTATGCCCTGTTGTAGAATGTGTTGAGGAATTGTAAACTTCGATGAAATGTTTCATTGTTTCTTCGGTAAAGTCTCGCTCTTGGTTTAAATCTCAGAGCGTTCTTATGAAGCGGTTTATGATGCCGAGTATGTTATGGTTACGGTCTTCAGTAGTGTAGTAAGTTATGTTATGCTTAATGAGAAAATCTGTGATTTCATTGCTGAGGTATGCACTGTCTTGGTCTGATGTTAAAGTACTTGGGCTATGTTCTGCTACAAACTTTTGTAAAACTCTTAACACTTCACGAGTTCCTTTATTTTTCATTGGATATGCATATGCTTTACGAGTGTTAACATTAATGAAGATGAGGAATGGTTTATGTCCTCCTTTTCTGCTTTGAATGAGAGTGTCAAATTGGTATGCGTCAGGAGTGTTGGAGTAAATTGGTAAAAAGTAGTCGTAAGGGTTTATTTTTGTTTGATGTACAACATTTTTGTCAAAAAACCTTTTCACTTCAGCTCTGTTAGTAAATCCCCAACTCTTTGCAGCTTCATTGAACTTCTTAAATGACCTCCATGGATGTTGTTCGAATACTTCTTTCAAGCTCATTTATGTAAAGTTAAAGATTTTATTCTAGGCTCAAGCGCGCTCATTGAACGCGGTACCATGCGAATATAGTCACAAATGGTGGCATATAATCTGCACCCGAGCCTGTTGGATTTGGTGTGAAAGTGTGTGAATGATTTCCTCCTGGTTCAGTTGGTCGAAAAATCTTTTTTGCTGAATTGTTATAAGATGGAGATAAAACGTCATGGCCAGCTTCATACTCTGAGTTGTATAATGGTGGTCTCTTAATGAGTGCTTATGGTCGCCAGAAAAGTTTGTCGTTCCTGTATGAGTGTGCGGTGGAAGGTTTGCTTCTTTAATTTTCTTCGAACCTCCTGTTTGCTTTGAAGAGTTAGCACAGTATAAGAATTTATCTACAATCTGCTTTCCACGTACCAAAACTAAAACTGTTTCTGGATTGTTGAATTCATTGACGTATAAATAGAACCAACAGGATATAATGTTTGAAGTATTTCAGTCTTTAATGTTTGAAGCTCTGTTTTGTCTGCTTTCTTATCATATAAATCTTGAGCAGTGAATTTAACATTATTTTCATCATCCATGACATAAACATTTTTACAGCTAATTTCTTTCTTCGTTGTTATGTTTTCATTCGATGTTAAACCTTGTGGAAAGTTAGGAGGTTATATAATATAATGCATCCCCACCAGTTCCGCCAACCGTTCCTTCAATACTTTCTATAGCAACAGTTGAGAAGGATTATGTGTATGTTCTTTATCTGCTTTTTTATCTAACATTGCTGTAGTTATATGTTTCAAAGTTTCTGACATGACCTTCAATGTTCATACATTTACTATTTAAGGAGTTAGTGTATCTTTTACGCTTGTACTTGGATTCTCTAAAGGTGCACTTGAACCAAGGGTATAGTTCAATATTATGTCGTCTGCTCTAACAGTAGTGAAGATTATGTGTATGGTTCTTGTCAGCTTTACTATTTAATGTAGCTTGAAGTTCATTTATATCGGAGATATTGTGTTTATGAGATTTCAAAACTTTGTTCATTGCGTCAAGTTCATCTTTGTCAGCTTTACTTTTAATAGCATCTTCAAAAAGTTATTTTTGCCTTAACTCTCAATGTAAATCTTGGTTCAACTAATAACCGTTAACAAAGAAGTATGAAGCATAAATTTCATTGTTATAACCAAATGCTTCTGGTGCTTTACCTGTGTCATACTGTACAGTACAGTGTATGTCATAAACCTTTAGCACGAATGAATTTATATCTTCTTTCATTAACATCTTCAGTGCTTATTTGTTCATCCTGTGTTAAATATCCATATAATCCGTTATAATCTGTTCGTCTGAACTTATATAATGAACATGGTTTTTATCTGCTTTTTCGGCTAATTTCTCTTCTATCTCATTTATTTCAAGTTCATGCCTACCACCACCTCCCGAAGAAGTATTTTTCTTCAGCTCTTGAAGAACGTCCACTTCGCCATCTTTGGTGTCAATAATGAGACTTTAGTTAAAAACCTTTCCTGTCTTAATGGATGTTGTAAAACTTCTTCTTCACCGTGTTCGGGGTCATGGTCGTCATCATATCTTGTGAAATCAGAGATTTGTCAACATTAAGCATATCTGTCTCAAAAGTTCTGCTATTTGAAACTGGAACGAAAGATATACAGAACTTTCATCATCTCCTAAAGTCAAGTCTGCTTTCTTAAGTATTTCTTGAATGTATGCAATGAGAACAGAGTACCTTGGAAAATATTCGAACAATATTTCATTAGCTGTTGGTTTTGGTGGTTCTTCTGAGTTTCTATTGTTTCAGTTCCTTCTGTAGGTTCTGTTGGAGTTTCTGCATCTCTTGACTTCAATGCTCTTGCTCTCAAAGACCTAAATGTTAGAGCATTTACAAAGGACTTTATAAATGCTTTAATAGTTCCTGGTAAGTTATTGTTAGCATTAAGTAATTCCTTATCCCATCATGTACGTCCATAGCACTATGTAAAAAATCTATACTTTCTTGTAGTCAGCAATAGACTGACTGTGATTTTTTAAAGATTTGTCAATACCTTTAAGCCAATCTTCATGCATGTCTGATACTGAGCCAAGAATATCATTTGCTTCCTTTAGTGTATTTTGTGCTTCTCGTAAAGTATCCAATCCTGTACGTGCAGTGTTTGCTATACGTCTTACAGTATCTATTTGACTCCTTGTTTCTTGCATCCAACCAGATAAAGTTTTAATAGTATCCGAACCATTTGAAATGAAGTTCAAAGCATTTTTAACGTCATCTAAAACTTCTTCACCAAGTACTGCCCATATCTTTCCGATTTGGTATTGAAGAACTCCATATGAAGCAGCTGTTAAACCAGTATTTATAAGGTTCCATATCCATGATTTAGCAGTTTTTCCATCCTTTCCATCTTCACCATCCAAACCGATTTCGCCTTGAGGTCCTTGTATTCCTTGTATTCCTTGTGGTCCTTGAGGTCCAGTGTCACCCTTCTCTCCTTTCAGTTCATCTTTATGTTCGTTATAATATTCTAATGTCATAAGGTGTACATCATTACTGCTACCAGCAACGCCGAGAATTTGTTTCTCATTCATGACTAAATTCTTTAAGCATTTAATGTTGTCGTCAAATCGAGAGCTCTTTAACAATTCAATGAGAACATTTAATACTTTCACTAATGAGGCATCTACTGTAGAATTTATATATTGCACCGTTCCATCATTTATGATAGGAACTTTACTTATTGTAATGAATGGGTCATAAGTGTTAAAAGTATCGAAATCAATGACTTTTTTAGTTTTTCCATCGTCAATGACTAAATCATTGCCTTCAATGGTTAAAGTTGAGTTTTCGTTTACTAGTTCATGTGCTCTTCTTGCTTCATTTGTTTCATACGCATATGCAGCAATAGTCATATTTTAATGAGAATAAAATGTTGTTCTATTTGCAAAGTACAGACCCAAACGAATACGGGACAGTAAAGCTACAAACAAACTTAGGTCTTCAGAATGAAGCGCTTGCTTTCAGAGTTGTTGACTTCAATACTATCGCAACTTTTGTCATAACAGATGAAACAGATTTCATAGAGATTGAAATAGATGACAAAAGAAGTGTTATAACATTTCCTAACAGAGCTGGGTATAGAATATATAAAATTGCTGGAGTGTTAAATGCTCTCATAAATGAAGAAACTATTGACAACATAGATGTCGAACTCTCTTCTGAGGGAACATTGAAGTTCAGTTATGTGAAGGAGTTTAAGATAACACGAATGAGTCATAGAGTACAACTTCTTTTGGGTGCATACCATATGACATTTCCTTTGAAAAGTGTTGACAAAACGATTGAGATGAAATCTGTTCCATACGTATGTTATGGTAATTGTTTATACATTGAGTCTAAAATAGCTAATGTCACAGGCATTTCAGGAGTTAATAGTAAAGGTTCAGTAGAATATAAATCCTTCTGTTATGCAGTCAATTCAATGTTCATTCCAAACGTTCCTGTCATAGCAACTCATTTAGGTAAATGGGTTCGCATTAGTCCTCATAATTTGAAAGACATGCAATTCAGACTTGTTGACTTTCAAGGAGAGCCTGTAGAACTGAAGGCACCAGTGCGAATGACCGTTGAAGTTGACTTTTTAGAAATATTAAATGCAACAGCTTACAAGAGAACTCAGAGCTAAAAATATAAAGTATGAATGTTATGTATTAGGTCATGAACTTTGGTTGTTGCTTTTGATGAAACAAATGAATTAGTTATGTCAGTCAAGAGAACAGAAAAATATTGTGTTAGTGAAAACTGCACCAAGTCAATAAGATTAGGTTTGCATTATGAAGATGAGTTCGATACTGTTGAAGAAGTTTTGGATAGATATTACAAATTGCTAACTTGAAATTTTTTTGACTGACGGCGCAAAGCGCCAAGATGGGCTCAAAGAGCCCTCCTGACTGCTTTAATTTACTAAAACATATTTCAAACAAAGCTTATAGTCAGTAGATAGTTTTGTATACTCGTTCGAATATTTATACTTAAACTCAACTCCTGTAGTTCCTGGTGTTTCAATGATGCGGATGTTACCTATTTTCATGAATAGTGGAGTTTGACCACAGCATTCGATTTCAGGGTCGAGATAGTCAATGACACATTGTTTCCCTGTTATTCGTGAGATAACATTTTCAAGGTCCTCCTTTGTTAGAATTATTTGGTTCTTGCTTATAAGATTTGTCAAAAGCTTCTTATCGTCTTTGAGTAAAATTGTTTGGTATAACTGAAGAAGGTAATGGTCTACGTTATCTGAAGGATTTGTTTGAACATTTGTGTAAGGATTGTCGTTGGCTTCTCTTGAAAGAATTTGGTCCAGTGGTGGATACTCTAACTTAACATCTGATGTAGCGTTAGCGTTTGAAACTGAGTTTAAATTCACGGCGCCATGCTCCAAGACCGAAGGTCCCGACTTAAGTTCTGGTTCTTTTTCTTTCAAACACTCTGAACTCTAGTTCTTTATGACAATATTGTTTGTCGTTCGTGAGTCAACATTTGATGTTGGTTCAATTGGAACATTAACGGCACCAGCTAAGATGGATTTGCTTCTCATTTCATATAGAATAAAAACCTTTTATATGTATGAAATGAACAATATACTCGACAAGGGTTTGAATGTAAAGCTAACGAATGAAAATATTGTTGAATTCACTGAGACAGGTGCTGTGTATAAAGATGTAGAACTACTGAACAAAAGAGCTAAGGGAAGAAGCAGGAACATGAACAAAGGGTGGAAGCCTATAAAAATTTATGTCAATGATGGCTCAGGAGGTTCAAACATAAAGTATGCAGAAAGTTATAGAGTTTATGCTCTCAAAGGTGAAAAGCCTTCATTTAAGAACAGCTATTCTAACGCATATCCTCAAAAGCTAACGGATGGGGAAGTGGATGATATGAATGACAGCAAAAATATTAACAGAAATGGCGACAGAGATGCATGGAATTTGTTTACCATCAGTCAATTGAAGGTTAAACTTTAAAACAATGTTGGTCGTTCCCATGGAATATTTTTGACTTTAATGGTATTAGTCATGATATGAATCTCAAGGTATGAACGAGGAGAGATGAGAGACTTATATGCTTCCCAAATTTCTTCAAAAGGTAATGTTATACCTGACTGTTTCCAAATGAGTTCAATATCATAACGTGAGAAACCTTGAAAGATAACGAAGTCAGTTATGAGACGTTTTATGTTTAAAGCTAAAAACCTCCATGTTTGCATAAGTATTGCTACATTTAAATGGTAATGTCTGACTTTAGTTATGATGTTAGCTAATGGTGAGTCAGGCTTTGAAACTAAACCTTTACCAGCGAAGTCGTCACAAACTAATAAAGTGTTTGATGGATATTTTTTGAAGGGGTATTTTGAAAGTTTTGACAGAATGTAGTTTGTAAGTCGTTTCATATCGTAAACTCCTGAGTACTGACGTAAGTGGTGTTTGTCAATAATTCTTTCCATCTCCTCAGAAGTCTTTTGCATTCCTGACTGTATAAATTCAACGATGGCATAATATTTCCTCTTACGTCGAATGTAACGTTGAAGAAATTCAATGAGTTCACTGTCTGGAACTTTAACGACAGAGGCTTGAACTTTTGACATAAATGTTTTCGCTGTTGAATCCATAGAGTCTGAAGTTGCTGATACAATGATTTGGTCATAGTAAGAGTCGTTTCCTAAACGCTCTGTTATGAGTATATGACGAATGAGGTTAAATGTCTTACCTGAACCCATCTTTCCACAATAGAAATAAACACCATTTGAACAGAACTCATAGTCCTTACTGAAAGGAGGAATGAGAGAAGAGTTAAGTTTGTCTGTAGTTTCATTCATGTCTTCATCTACGTCATGTATTAAATGCTTCATTTTATCTCCATTAAAAATGCAAGTCAGAAATATTCAGAACATAGCACCGAGTCTAACTGACAAGAGTATAAAGATATACTATGAACACGTTATGATGAAACCTACCAAAATTCAAGAAAGTCAGTATACTTATGAATATCCAAGACACTGGGTAGAGTATGTAGGAGGTGAGAAAGCTATTGAAATCAGACAGGTTCGAAGTATTCCAGCAGGAAGAACAATATTATTGAAGAACTTTAATGTTTTGAGATATAATGATGAAACAAAGAAGCAAGATAGTTTTCCTGTTGCTGTGTATGTGAACTTAGATACAGGAGATGACATGAAAGTTTTTAATACAAAGCTTCAAACGGTAGTGAGAGAACAACTGACTGCGGAAGGACATCCATTACCTTCAGAAGTTACCATAGCATATAATTTGAAACAAACTCAATAGATTTTAAAGTCGTCTCTGCAAAGAAGTCAGGTTTTACATTTAATGAAGCAGATGTATATTCGAATGAAAACTTCAAAGCTATTGCATGGTTAGATAATGACGATTGCTTTAAGAAAATATTTAAATACAGTGACTCAACGATGTCAATAGATGACCTTTGTGGAATGTTACCATCGACGTTTACAGTAGAAGGTTCAGCAGGATTGCTTACAAGATTGTCAATTGGTGGTATTTGGTCTCGTGAGAACATTGTTATAAAATCCAGTATAAGTGAATTTGCTGAAGAATCTATATTATGTCTTTCAAAACTACATGTATTCGCCGCCGAAGCATTATAGTATAACAAACTTTGTCAGTAAGTTTAACATAAGACTTGTCGAACCTTCTTCAATGAAAGATGTTGTGCTACCTAAAGATGGAAAGGATGGACTCATTATTGAGATGATTTTAATAGCATATTAAATGAGCTTGTTCTTGAAGGTCACTCATGATGAAATAACTGTTGTAGAAGATGTTAGCAATTGTTCAGACATTTTGAAGCGTATAGATGAGATAAGAAAGAAGTTAGATAGACCGCAAAGCGGTGAGGGCGAAGCCCGTGAGAACGCTTATGTTTCATTGACTTTCTCCAGTAACGAGATCTTTTATGAGATAATATTGAAGAGAGATGATTTTAATATGGGGTAAATGGTAGTTTGGGCAGCTTTAGGCGCAATGGGAACAAAAGCATTAGCATTTGGAGCAAAAGCACTTGGAGCTTATGACGCAGTAAATAAAATGAGTGGAGGAAGGGTTTCGAAGACATTAGATGCAAATAAAGGGAAGATTGGAGGCTGGGTTGCAAAGAAGTTAAGATTAAATAAAATAGGGCTCATAAATAAAGCATCCAATTTGGTTGCGACTGAGTCAGAAAATGCTTTAGGAAAGGACGATGAGTTTGCAAAACACGCAAAAGACTTTAATGACCAGATGAAAGGTGAAACAATGCATTTAAATAGATTCGATGGAACTAAAGAAAATGTTTCTTCTCCACCAGTAGTTCTTCCGTATGGTCCCTATGGAATGTATGGAAACCCTTACGAAAGACCATTTGACCCATTGGACTGGAAGTAACTGGTATCATTACGGACGAAGAAGAAAGACAGTCAAGTTGGAGACAGACGTGAAGAAAGCAACTAAAAAGAAACCAAGGAAGAGAGTTATAAAGCAATGAATTCAACAGGGTGAAAAACCGGGTGAAAAAAGAGGTGAGATCTCACCACTTCACCTAAATTTATTTTTGTGCTATGTTTTCATACGTGTGAGGGTGGTGATATCATTAATTTTTAAGTTTATTTTTTATTTTATTTTTATATAAATGACAGAACAAAAGCAACTCATACAAATCGAAAAATATAACAAACATACATTTAAACATTTATTCTTCCTTCCTGAGTATAACATGTTCTTTACACTTCATCCTAGACCAGTAGATTATACATTGACTGTGTATAAAGATTGTCATGGTAGTTTTATAAAAACTTATGATGATGAAGGTAAGTTAACAAGACTATGCATTTCAAAACTTGAGAAACTTTATGACTTCAAGTATGACTACAATAGAGTTAACATTGACGATGAAGATATAGAAGAAAATTTATGAGAACGTTTATTTTTTCATTAGTGAGTTCGTTAGTGAAAATGTTAGTGAGGTGAAATGGTTGGTGGTTTTGTAAATATTTAAGGTTAAATTAGTGTTGTCGTTTGTGTTGTAAAATATACGTTAACGGTTTCGTAAAGTGTCAAATTCACATATAATGGGTAAGGTGGAACACAGTGCCTCCGTACACTTGATAGGTGTATTAATTTATGGCCTGTCACAGAAAGAATCTTTAACTGTTATTGAACCAGAATATTGATGATAAAATTCTTTTCCGGGTCCTGTATTTCCAAGAAAAGAACAGTTTTCAATAAGATTAGTTGATTCACGCGCAGAGAAAGTTCCTATATAAGTTTTTGCGTGCTCATTATTCAAAACATTACAAAATTTAAAATTCATATTAAAATTAATATCACAAAATTCTGTCATTAAAGCGCCTTCTTTTGATATTGTCTTATAAAATGAAAAAAAAAAAGGTATTGGGGCTTCCAGGCACTTCGTGCCCTCTAGCCCCGAAGATGTTTAGTATAAAAGCCGCTTTTTAACTTCACTTAAAATGCCGCGTAAGCTACGTAAGAATATACGTAAGAGGAAGAGAGCATTGAAACATCCAATAGTAAGACTGACACCACAACAACAGTTGCAACAACAAATGCTGAATGACCCCACTATGTTGCAACAAATGTCAAGCAATCCTATGCTTTTAAACCGAGTTGTTGGTGCACAGAGTGGAGGTTTAAGAGCGGCACTTTTAGCGAAAATGGCAGGCTATGGTGGAGCTGCAGACGGAACAGCATATAACCCTCAAAGTCAAATGAATTTGAGTTCACTCAAAAATCAAATAGCAGATGTCAAAAAGTCAAACATAGACATACAGAAGCAAATAGGTGAAAACGAAAAGAAACTAGAATATGACAGACACACAAAGAAACTCAATGAGTTAAACGTAGAGAAAAAGAAGAAAGAAGAACAACTGAAAGAACTAAGTACAGAGGAATATGCGAAAAAAGTGTCAGAAAAAGCAGCAGAAGTAGCAAAAATGGAACAAGATGTTGTAAATTTGAAAAACCATACTACTCGATATAAAGTACTGAAAGATGAAGAAATAAAACAAAAAGCCCTGAAGACATATATGGATAGCGATGAGTATAAAAAAGAAGTTGAAGCAACTGTAAAGGCAGAAAAACTTTTACAGTTGCAAAACCAAACCGTACAGTATGAAAACTTAGCACAAGAAAGTAAAAATAACGACGCAGCCATGCAAAAGGCAATGAAAAGCGCAGAATATATAAAAGCTAACAATGACTGGTTAGATGCCCAAGCCAACGCCAAAGCAGCCCAGCTTATAGGGTCAATAAGGACAAAAATACAAGCGGATGAAGACAGTTCAAATGAAGCTTTAACAAATGCTGACTTTAAGAACGCCTTCGAAGCTCTTCATAGTAAGGTGAAACAAGTGAACGACTTCTCATCTGGAAAGAAACTGAAGTCTGAAGGTTTCGACAAAGAGTTAAAAGAAGTAGCACAAAATATGACGAAAATAACAGATGCAGCAACGAGACAGGCAGTTCAAAGTGCCTATGACGCCGTAGAGCAACTGTTGTGAAAAGTCAAGAAAAAGAGTTACAACAGACCAAAACAGACCTAGTAAATGCTTTCTTAAAAACGAAAAGTCAGGTAGGACATTACGCTGCAGATGGAACATATGTGCCAGCTGGTGGAACTTATATACCAGCTGGTGGAACATATGTGCCAGCTGGTGGAACTTATATACCACCAAACCCTCCAAGAGAAGCACCTGCACCAGGACTACCTAAAACATTTACATCGTCACATGGACACAGACACAGGCATGCACCAAAACCAACACAGCAACCAACAGTTCAAAACCCTGCACAACAACCACCTCCACAACCAGCACAGCAACCAACAGTTCAAAACCCTGCACAACAACCACCTCCACAACCAGCACAGCAACCAACAGTTCAAAACCCTGCACAACAACCACCTCCACAACCAGCACAACAACCAGCACAACAACCAACAGTTCAAAACCCTGCACAACAACCACCTCCACAACCAGAGCAAGGACATAAAAGAAGTAGAGAACAAGGAAACCAAGAATTCTTAAAAATGCTTAAAGAAGACTATGGTTACCCAGATAGTATTGACTTTAGTGACAGATATAAAGAAGCTATTAGAAAGTTCAAGGATGGAAATACTGACCCGAACCTATTTAGCTTTATGACTCAGCACCAAATCGGATATAATTTCAAACCTGGAAAATACAAGCTCGCAAAGGGATATGATTTAATAGCATATCATCCAAATGACATGAACGAATTTACTCCGAGATATTTGGTGTCAGAGCTAAATGATAATTCAACTCTCTTCATGAAACGCGTAAAAAATAGAGACGGAACGAAAGAAGAAAGGTTTATGAGTCCGGATGACTTAGATAGGGAACTTTTTAAAAACGGTCTCGGAATATATGAAATGTCAGCAGATGAGGTACAAGAAACTCCACAGGAAGAAGTTCAGATACAACCAGACATGGAAGAAATAGTTCAGCAACAACAGCTAGAAGAGCCTGAAGGAAACGAACAAGTCACTCCTTTGGAAACTAACTTCACAGAACTAGATGAAGATTTGGAACAGCCGAAAAATCTTGACCCTCAACAAGAGTATGAGGTGAATATGGAATCTTTCCAAGAGTCTAAAAAAATTCGGCTGACATAGTAGAAGAATATCGAAAAATGTTTGCCGACATACAAAAGACTCCAACACCAGATGAAAATATTCAGCATAGAATGGAAGTACTGAAAGAAAATGTACACAAATACAACAACCCTTTTTACTTACGAGCATTTAACGTTCAATCTTCGGATGAACTCGGTGAAAATAAAAGGTTAAATTTCAACAAAAACATATAGAAATGAAACATTGTTTAAAGTTCATTCAGAACCTAACCAAGATGGAAACAAACCTACTTTTGTTTCTGCAGACTATGGAACTACAATGAGATGGGGTCATAAAGCTAACCCGGATAGGTGGTTCATAAACTTACAACCACAATTCCAAGAAGTTGTAGACGCAATGGAAGTGAATGGTGAACCAGATATAGCTGGTATTTTCAGCGCGGCTTTAATGCCATTGAAAGATATGAAACATGCAGATATTTTGAACCAGTATGAAATGAACATGGCTGATGGAAATATAACACCTGACGTTCTAGAACATTTATCTCAAAGAACTACACAGAACCATAGAGATGGTATATTTGGTGAAGAGTTTAGAAAGAAAGTTAGGGAGAGAGAAGGAAGAGAACCTATTGTACATGACCTTGCAAACGAAAGTTTGCAAAATGTCATAAAAACTTACTTTGCAGACAATGAACCGAGAATGGATGAATATTTAAGAAAACTCAAATGGACAGTACCAAATGAAATGTTAGTATTGAAAAACATGTTCCTTGACAAAATAAAACCAACTACAGAAATAAATGACGCAAGACTGAAACATTGGGTAAAAGCTTTCCCATTCACAAAAGATATAGTTGGTAACATGGAAAGAAAACCAGAATGGCTACAAAAACATATATTTGGAAACGAGCTTATTCCATATGGACAGGCTCTGTTTGAAGAGCTTGAACCGGAAACTCAGGAAAGAGTCATGCAAACAATACGCGAAGACTCAAATACAAACTATGACAAACTCTTTCTAGGATATAGGTTACCTGAGATGGGCGACCAGAGCCAAAGGCAAAAAGGACATGGGAAATTTACAACATACTAGATGAACATGAGGCAAAGATGCAACAACTTGAAGCAGAGGGCAAGTTACCAAAGCGACACCAAAGAAGAAGAGTAGAACAAAGTGAAAGTAGTGAAGAAGTAACTTCATCTAGTGAAAGTAGTGGCAATGAAGGAAAAAGAAGAGTTAAAAACTCAGTCAGGAAGAAAGTAAAGCTTGGTCCACGTGGGTTCTATTATGACATATAAATCCAACTATTCTATATTTTTACCCATATGAAATGTACGCCGCTCAGAATATAACGCCAACAGTTTTGGATGCCATGAATGGAAATGTTTCCGAATGGTATAACGAATGCGACAATGCCATTAGAAGGTCAGAAATAGTTCCTGGAACTTACGAATATACAACTGCTGTTTCTTATGGAAACGTAGGTGAGTTTGGAGAAGGTTCTTCAACAACAGTAGATATTGCTTGCGACAGGTTTCATATTATTTCTATTGACAACTCTTTCTTATACGTGGAACAAGACATTGAAATAAAACCTTCTGCCAAGTTGTCTGACAAGAAAGGTTGCAATGGAATTTTCTATGTCGGATACCAATATGCTCCAGAAGTTTTCATGGGATATAAGATATATTCTAACTCTGACTTAGTTCAAACAGTAACATGGGCAAACTATGAATGGTTCGCTTTGAGAAACTCAGTACAACCACAAGCTAGAGAACAAACAGACCAGTATGCAACTATTGAGAAAATAAGAAGACTTGACCCTAACGTTCCAGGAGTTTATGTTGACCTTTCTGGACAAACTGCAGCAGCAGTAACCAAAGTAAAATTGAAACTTAGAGTTCCTTTGTCATCTTTCCTCATCTTCAGGTTTTTAAGATACTTGCCAAACTGGGCAGGAAAAATTTCTATCGAACTTACTCCAAGCAAAAATAACTTAGTCATTGCACCAACACAAGACCCATTCACTCTTACTGTAGCTGGAACTGGTGGAGCCAAGTTCTGTGACTTTTGCAAAGACAAAGTTGACTTAGACTTTGGTTTCTCAAACCTCAACACTGAAGTAAACTACTACTTCAATGCTGCTGGAACTGCTTGGGACCCAGTTAAGTTCACATGCGAAAAATTTGAATGCAAGAGAATAGAAAGCAGACTTGCAGTCTATATGTTGGACCCAGATATTTCAAATGCTTTAGCTGCCAAATATATTGCAGTTCCACTTATGTTCCCTATACACCAAATATCTGTCAAAGACTTTGCAGGTGAAGTTGGAAACCAAAGTGCTGACCCAGGTGCAAGAACAGATATTGCCTTAACAACTGCAATGAAACATGCAGATACTATGTTTGTACTGTTCAGACGAACTATAAATGACTATTCTTGTTTCTACAACCCCGGTATTAAATATCATATAAACATAGATGGTAAATACTATCCAAGAGAAAAATATTCTACAGTTGAGGATATGAGGTCATACAACTTGACATTAGATGCTATGAACTTTAACAACAACTTCACAACAACCATTAACCCTGAAATGCAAAGTTCTATTATGCCATATGTGAAAGTATGGACCATACAGGAGCTCAAACACTCAATATACAAATGGAGACCGTTCAAACTTTTGGCTTGGCATTCCATTTGCTGACTCAGAAGACTTTATGGGTGGTATTTCAACTGTTGGTACAGTTCAAATACAATATACTGGTGACAGAGACGGTCCAGATGAATTGAAAGCAAAGAAGTTTACAAAACCAATAGCACTTTTCACGGAAGATGCTCTTTTGAAGATTCGTTCGATGAAACCTGCTGGGGCTCCTCAGATTGGTATAACGACAGCTTCCATCGAGCAGATTTTGGCAGCAGGTCAGTAAGTTGTTCTTGAACTGACTTCTCTCCGTCAAATATTGACAGTACGCCAGTTTTGACATAGTATTGTATTATAAACTTACCTTTAGAAATATCGGTCAGTTTTGTTGTTATATTTTTGTCTGCTTCAAGAACTTTCACCATCTCGGTTATACCAACTTTCTTTGCTTTATGAAAATATTTTGGTTCAGCAAAGACTGCTATTCTATAACATTTTCCATTGTTTGTGTAAAGAACTATTCTGTCAATGAACTTGTATTGTTTGTGTGTGTAAACTTTGTTTTGCTTCAATTCGAAGAGATACTCAAATACGTCCATCTTTTTATTCTAAGTAAAATGTCATTTCCGAAAAATAGAAGCGTAAGTGTTTCAAAAGGTTTAATGGCGGTGGCAGATGTGAAGTTAAATTCACCAACTCAAACAAACAGTCAAAGTGTTGTTGTCAATGTCAAAGACAGAGATGTTGAAGTGGGGAAACCATACGAAGACGAAGATGGTATAACAATAGTTCCTGTAAAAGAACAACCAACATATCCTGAAGTTAGCAGAGACTTAAGTTCTGTTGCAGATATTCGAAACGACTACCAACAACTTAAAGACAAACTTAAAACTCAGGAGAAGATTTGTCAAGCTTTGGGTATAATGTTAAACTTGGTCGAACACAACCCTGTAAAAGTGAACTCATATGTCATCGCACCTCATGAAATTTTGAAAGAACTATTGAAACTTTTGACAGAGGCAGACGATATAAACATCAAAGAAATAGAACCCGACATTGCTTGCTGTGGTGTTTCATATAATGTCATTGACAAGATATACGTTATGAAAGGAGGTGAAACGTTGAACTTAAAATATAGTTTCCCAGACGTCATAAAAATATTTGACGACCACAACATTTCATTAAAATTTAGTTGCTAAGTAAAATGTCAAAACTTCTTGAAAGATGTTTGAAGAAAAACAATATAGACTTTATTTCATGTAAAGGACTTTACACACTTTTGAACGATATGAAAGACCCTGTTTTGTTTGTTCGTGTAGACAAAGGAAAGTTCTATGTCTTTACAAAATATTTGAACTTCTTAGACAGAGAACTTCAAGAAACGCCATGTGAAAGTTTAGATGAAGTTCTTCTCCACTTTCAGAAAAACTTTTAAATATATGTAAATGGCAGAAGACATAGTGGTTTATACTATTACGACTAAAAACCCTGAGTCATATAATTCTATAACAACAAACTTACAAAGTCCTCAAGGACGATATTGTAAACTGACCTTAAACACGATGACGACTAAAGCCTGTTTTGCTCTTTTGACACCAGAAGACTTTGTTGTTGTGAATGGTAAAAAATACTCCTTTGAAGATACTTACTCAGATATACCACCAACAGGTTTTGTTGACTTATTTAATACTTTAAGGACGGATGTAACATGTGCTGCAACTAGAGCAGGTTTCATTATGTTTGGATGTCCGACTGAGTTTACTATAAACGATATGAGCTATAATACAAAACTTATATCTGGTTTTTACTACCAACAGTTTCCTATAACAGGAAAAGGTGTCATACAAGGAATGTCTGTTCCATTGACTTTAAGTACACCTATTTTATATATTGTTTCAAACTTAGGTTCAAAGTGCTATTCGAATGTCGACAGAAACTACTATGACCAAAAGATACTCATGCGTATAAACAACACATTCTCTGCTGGTTTGCCTATTGTTCATTCGAATGCAGAGTTTTCAGCTTTAGTAAACTCAAACACTTTAGCAAACATAAACTTAACCTTAGTTGACGCAAACTTTGTTCCTGTAAAACTTTTATGTCCTATGTATTTGTCAATGACGGCAGAAAGTTTCGAATTGGAAGATGCAACTGGTGAAAGTATTGTACTACAAGAACAACTTCAACAACAAATAGCTCAAGAACAACAAATGCAACAAATGGAACAAATGCAACAAAGTCAAGAATAAAAAAAATATTTTTTTTTATTTTTATAAAAAATGTACAGAATAGACGTTTCAGATTTTTATGACTTCCAAGCCTTCAGAAATATGTGTCCATTTCGAGACTATAACAAAGCAGTCGAGAATTTGAAACGTTTAGTCATTTATGTCGACTCTGCCCCAGAATGTTATGTCATGAAAGAATGGGATGTAGTCTTTAACAAACCTAAAGCGACAATAGTTTCAGAACAAGAATGTAAACAGAAACTTAAGAAAATAAAAGTCGTACAAGTTGGTATGAAGATGTTAGATGCTTGGGATATCTTATTGTCAAAGTTAGAAGATTTTTCAGTTCGTGGTATAAAGTTCTATACACCATCTCCAAACTTCTATTCTATCTTCACTGGATATAAATACGAACAAGTAGAATGGAAAGAAAATGTTATAGAAGCTTGGTTAGACCATGTCAAAGAAATTATATGCAATGGAAACGAAAGAGTCTATGAGTATATCTTATGTTGGTTTGCAAACATCTTACAACATCCAAGTGCTAAAAATGAAACTGCTCTCATTGTAATTGGAAAACAAGGAACAGGTAAGAACACTTTCTTTACAGATATCTTATGCAAACTGTTAGAGGGCTATTCGAACCCGAATATGACAAACTTAGAAAACATCTGCGGTAAATTTAACTCTTCAATAGAGAATATGAAACTTATAGTATGTAACGAACTTCAAAGTATAGATACAACAAAAGTTTTGAACTCAGATGCTTTGAAGAGTCTTATAACAGACAAAGTTGGAGTTGTTGAAAGAAAATATAAAGACCAAAGAGTTTGTGAAAATGTTGCAAATTTCATCATGGTTTCAAACAATGCCGTTCCGATGAAGTTAGAAAGTTCTGACAGAAGATATGTAGTTGTCAGAACGTCAGATTCTCATATGCAAGATACAGAATATTTTGACGACTTAGCAGAAACTTTAACACCTAACTTTTACAACCACTTGTTCTCATATTTCATGACATTAGATATTTCAAGTTCAATCCAAGACAAATTCCACATACCGAAGAGAGACAAACATTGTTAGAAGCAAACAAGAGTGTATATGAACTGTTCATAGATGAAACTGACTTTGAGTGTTTAGATGAAAGGTCATTGTACGATTCGTATAAACAGTATTGTCAAGAGTATGGTTATATGACAGCGTCTAAACGAACATTCTTGGCAAATGTCAAAAGTCTTTTAGATGTTCAGAATGGTGTATATACAAAGAAAAATTTTTCTGAGTAAATTTTAAAAAAAAATATTTTTTTATCCGATAGAAAAGATGACGAAATTCATCTCAGTCAACAAGTACATGTCAGGACTTAAAGAAGAACTAGACCCATTCACATATTTGAATGTTTACTTCTACCATTTTGAAAAGTCTACATTTGACAAAGTTTGGAACATCGAACCAGTTAAGTTTGCTATTGTGACTAAAAATGGTGCGAAATTTGAAGACTTAGACATAGAAGGTTTGTTAACAGTCAAAGAAAGTTTTGACAGAAGGTTCTCAAACCTTAAAGAAGGCAAAGCATACAAACTTGTTATACCTTATGAACCAAAGAAAGCAGACGACTATGAATATTATGAGTCTAAGATAGTTGAAGTTCAAGGTAAATTGGGTAAAAAGATTTTAGAGTCTAAGCCGGTGTTTGCTCCTAAAGAGGAAGAGAACATTGACATTGACCCAGAAATGTTCTAAAAATAAAATTTTATTTTTACATGTCATATCTCCCCTTCTCTGGCTCTGGTTCTTTCTTCTCTTCTTCTACTTTCTTTTCTTTCTTTTCTCTCTTCTTTTCTGGTGGAGTTATGTCAAACTTCTCAGAACCATATTTTTGTAAAAGTGCTTTGTCATTTAATAGCTCTTCTATTCTGTTTTCTATTTCATTTTCAAGAACAGCGCATGTGTCTTCTTTGC